ACTCCAAATCCAAGACTGAAGCCCAGTTGAAATGGATCTAGATAATTCTTTTCAATCAAGAGTGCCTGGAGTTCAGCAGCAGCCATCTGCTCAAGCACCTTGCCCAGGAAGAGAATGTTGGTGACTTACTTGCCTATTTATCATCATCTGGATCCAGGTTAGGCTTTTAAAGAAATGGTCTAATTACTGCCTCTTTAAGGAGACCGCTCCCACTTGTAAACTCAAGGAGGAGTTTACAACCTCTGGACCCAAAGCCACTTCCTATTAGAGGTAATAAGGTATGAAGGCCAACAGTAAAGCAAAGATAATGTGGTCAGTTGGATTTGGCTGGGCATCTTGTCTGCGTCTTCAGGTCTCATCAACTGAAATCCACTAACATGGGGCCACATGATGTCCTGGGCAATGCTACTAATGGGACTACATTAATTGTGGCATCCAATTTGGGATAGGTCTGAGCAATTGTATCTTCAAAATACTGTGCAAATTTGTCACAATGTGCTACTATGATTGTTTCTCTCCCTGATTCATATTGAAGCTGGCCACGAACCATTTGGAAAAGCTCTGCTGGACGACACTGAGAAAAGGGTGGAAAAGAATGCCCCTCTCTGCCACAGAGTAGGCTTGATAATAATCTCCAGCCGGTTTTTGGTCAGATTTTCCTCAATGTACCTTCTAGCTGTCATCCTTGCTTCATTGCCACCAGATGAAGAATATACCAAGGTGTTGACTGGGTTCTGTTCAGAAGAAGAGGGTACTGTGTGTGCCTGTGGCTGCTGCACAAGTCAACTCTGCATTCCACAGAGTGACCTGGGATTTTGTAGAAGAACCAGACATACCATCAGGAAAAAACCAGACTCTTCTGAACTCAATGTAATCCATTAGGCTCTGTGGGTGGATTGTTTTAGTAGCCCTCCCTGTATTATAGAAAGGCTTCTGAGTGTCTAAACCTCAACAGGAAATGATCTGAGCACAACAACATGATAAATTTTAATTCCCTTACTTTCAGGTCACCATTCTCCTTCTCAGTCAAGAAAATAAAATCAAGAGTTTATCCTCTTACATGCATTGGGCCAATAATATATTGAGACAACCACATGGCTGTCATGGTGGAAATGAAGTACTTGTAACTGGCAGCTTGGGCATGGAAATTAAGATCCCTCAGAACCATCATTCTAGTGATCTTCAACAACAAATCTGAGACCAGCTGCATCAGCTCAGGCAAGGAGACTGATGGCTAGTGGGGAGGGCGCTATACCACCAGAATCCCTAATCTGTTTTGGGTACTCAGCAAAGCTTCAGCACTTGAATGGACAGGAAGCCTAGAGAAGGAGATAGAAGTTCCATACCACAGCACCCCCTGGCCTGGACCCTCAAGGGTTCCCTTCCAGGTGCAAAAATTTCATGTAGAATACTTGCCTGGATTGTTGAATTTCTCCATTCTCTCCCTATGAACATGACTTAGAGCATAATGAACACTCTCCAGGGTTTCTCTATTGCAGAGAAAGATTAGCAGTTAGGGACAAGCTGCACTTGGGGAAGATGTCTGCCGTTATGTCTACCTTCTCCCTTCCCAACTTGGCTGGTCACTGAGGTCATTAGAAGAAGCATTCTTGTTGGGACTGCATGGACCTCTGGTCTGTTTGAAATCCACTGGCAGTACAGTGTGCAGTGGCTTGGCTCCCTCTTGATGGAACTCCATGCCTGTTTGTGTCAGGCAGTCAATGACATTGTTTCATTTTTGGCACCTACTGAAAACATTTTAATTTTAATGAGTCTTCCCTGATTAACCAGCCCTGGTTTTATTAGCATAATTTGATTTTAAAATTTTAACCCTGTATTTGGTTTTTTGCCCTTCTTACTATCACTAGCTATTTAAGAATTTTACTGGACACTGAATAAAGACTATATAAACCCAGTAAATTAAACAAACAAACAACTGGTCTTCTCACTGATGAGCCTCTGAAAAGCTTCCAAAGAACATGAGGATTCTCTAGATTGCCATCTGAAACCCAGTAGACTGGTCTATTGGTTCCTCCCAGATCCAGATCTTTCAAACACAGTCTCATTTTTTTTCACATTTGAAGGAATTAATATCAACAACTCTCTCTGTGTCACACACATGGCAACCAAAAATTTTGTGTAAACATATGGACTGCAGTTGTTGAATCCTTTGAACCAAAATTCAGTGTGGTGGATTTGTGTTTTTTGTATGTTTTGTATGGAAATGGAGAATGTTTTATGAAATATTAAAAAGTCAAAACGTTATAGAATAATGTGATGATGAAGAATAACAATGAGTTCTGCAATTTCAGCTAAGCACCTACTGCAGTGAAATAAGATGCAAAATGAACTGCAGCCCTCTGGCTCCTGCTGTGCTCTTGACCCTTGCAGGATCCTTGCACATGCAGTGGGGTGAGAGTATGTGAATGTCTGCTTGGGAAGCGATCCATGCAAAGGGCTCTGAAATAGGACTTCCAAACCAGAATGTGGGTACATGGCCCACTGCTGGAGCCTGTGTGGAATCTCCCTGCCTTTTCCAACACAATTTTATAGTTCGTTGCTCTTACTGTGTGTTTGGCAGTGTGTCAGGGATCATTTATAATAATGGTCCCTTAATTGCCTCTTGGACAGCCTGCTGTGGGGCTGTTTGTGTCTTGCTGGGGGAAGAAATTGTCAGGCAACTGTGTGTGTGTGTGTGTGTGTGTGTGTGTGTGTGTGCGCGCGCACACACACATACTTGTGTGTGGCTGTTTCCTTGCATAAGGGAGCAGCATGCATGTCCTCACTGTGAAAGTGTTTACTGACTCTGAGCTGGCTTTTTTCCTTTAATAAAATGGTGTGATAAGGAGGTGATTGGGGAGAGGGACTGATGAAGGGTGGGGGATCACAGGCAGTGACAGAATAATTTAAACAGCCTCGTGGTGTCGCTTCATCTTTGCAGACATCATAAATCAGATTAACACCTAGTTGTGCAAGGAGGTGTAGAGGGTGAAAGAGCAAGGAAGGGACAGTGAGACACTCATTGTTGCGACTGCTATAAAAGTCACTGAAATCCTTTTTTTAAAATTTCCTCTTGCTGGGTGATGGCATCACAAAATTAGGTAGGTTCTAATACCTAATGCAGGTAGTGAAGATGTGACTACATGTTACCATAACCTTGCAGCCACTGTAGAAATCGAATCCTTCCTCTTCTTAATCTGTAGCAAATCTTACTCATGCCCTGATATCATTGTTATGCATTTTCCTGCCCCTGCGGCTGTTTTCATTGGCAGCCCCACGTTCATCATAATGCTTATTTCCACTTTGATTCTTCATAACAAAGAAGGGAATCTAGAAATGGTATCTCTAAAGTGACAACAATTTAATAGTATTGAAAAATTGAATCCAGCAGATCATTCCATCTGAATAAGTAGGTCTGCAGATTATAGTTTGTGTTAAGAATGATGCTTCCTGCATTACCTGACATATGAATTGTATTCCGCTTATGTTAAAGACAAAATCATATTCTCACAACATGGGTGAGTGCACACTGTGTCATCTGTGGACTGACATCCACTGAAGCTAGATGCACTTTCTTTATCTCCACAGTGTGTGCACATGCATGAGTGTGCATGCACATGTATGTATACCAAGCTGTTTATGTGTATCATATAGACACACACTGCAGCTCTCTGTTGAGTATGCCCTGAATGGCAAAGCCAGGTTTATTTCTGTGCAGTATATGAAACGTTCTTCAAATGGGCATTTCACTTCTGCCTTTCACAGTTCTCACCTTCTCGGCTTTCTATCTAATTCCTTTGCTTGCTCGGAAGTTTCTTCTAAGGCTTCTCTACATGAGGAGTTTCTTCTGCCTCTTTGCTAAGACTTCTTCCCTTTTCATTGCAGCAGGAAACATGTGTCCTTTACACAGGATTTTTTCCCAGGGTTTCTATTTCTGCCTGTCTATATATTCTATTAACCAATCACAAGGTGGTGCAGTATAGTGGAGCAGCAACAATGGAGGGTTTTGTTCCAGTACGTTGCAGTTTAAACTTTAATAACTGCTTGTCCTCACTCAAAAAACCCTGCTATAAAGGTTGGAAAAAGTGGGAGAGGCTCTGAAGGATGACAATATCATTAAAAAGCCCTGAAAATCTGCAAGCAAGGTATCATGAGAAAACAAGTGCCTCCTTCAATCTATTCTTAGTACCTAGTACTATCTGAGAACACAACGTTGCTCCAGATCTGCTTGGTTTCCTGTGCCCTTCTCCAGGATGACTCTCGCTCAGAAGTGCAGAATTTCTTTTAGCTCAAGCACAAATTCAGTTTCAGGGAAGCTCTGAGGGCTGCATGCCAGCAAGGCAGAAGCCAAGGGGATGGGACCAAAGGCAGAAGAGGTAGTCCCCAAAATGCAAACACCCTCCACCTGCATATTTGAGCTAAAGCTTTCAGTGCTTGTAATGGAATCTTAGGCATTTAGGACTTTTAGAATAGGGGAAGATGGCACCAAACCACCAGACCTCTGATTATGGGAGTGGGAACACAAACCACCGGGTGGTGTGGGGTGTGGCCACCTGGCACAGTCTGGAGGACTGGATTTGGCCTGCAGGCCTGAGAGTCACACAGATGGTTTTGTTTCACATAGGCAAACAAGCCTCTTTGCGTGGGATGGTATTAATTAGTGATCTGCAACAGCACAGGGTTGGACCTGATGGCCTTCTTGGCCCCTTCCAGCGCTACTCTTCTATGATGCTCACGTTTGTCTTTGAGATGCTCTCCAAATGCACCCCCCCCATGAACTTGCACTCATGTTAAATCTTTACTGCTCTCTGCTTTCTCTTCTCTTACTGGAGCCATCGGAATGTATGGGGCATGTCAGCTACGGTCATTCCTCAGCCCTGCCAGTAAATGGCCCCTCTCTTCCCACTGCTGCTGGATCGGGCTTGGGGGCTCCTTGGCTTCAGTGTTGCTGCCTGCCAAGGCCTAGGCTCATGCTGTGCCTCCCTCTCTTCTTCCCCCAGATTTCCCGGAACCTGGGGAAGCTGTACAGCGAAATGATCTTTGTGAATGGCTTTGTGCACTGTGATCCACACCCAGGCAACGTGTTGGTGACGAAGTGCCCAGCAACGGGCAAGACACACATTATACTTCTAGACCATGGGCTCTATCAGGTGAGCAGAGGGCAGGGCAGGGCGGATTTGGGGCCCAGTGTATGCCAGAGCAACCCTGGGTGACAGCTTCGTGCAGAACTCTCTCTGAAAGCAGCTGGCAAGATAGATCTTTTCCCAGCCACCTTTGGGTGTCTTTGTGCCTTCTGCTCAGAGCACCCAGGAGTGAAGGGAAGATGTGGCAGGAAGCAGGCAAGCAGTTCAAGGGAATGGGCCCACAGCCCAGTGAGACTGGGGCTAAGTGGTGGGTGCAGAACCACTCCCAGCTTCAGGGCCAAATTGGGCCCAGGATAGGGCACGGGGTGGGGCTGTGGCCCAGCATGAGGGGAGCCACTGCTGGCATCAACCTCTACACACATTTCACATGAACAGACTTCATTCCCATATTCTCCTACACATCCAAGCCCGACCTCCTCAGCTGATCTGTGCAATTCTGCGGAGAAGGGCATTTTCCCTGTCCAGTGCTGGGAGAGGCTCCCTTTTCCAGCAGTGAGCAGAGAAAGGACCTTATTTCTGCTTTGCTGCGGAACAGAAATAATCCCTTTCCCTGTTCCACTATGAGCTCCAGGGAGGCCCATCTTAATACATCACCTGATGTGCAAGGCTGGTCCAGGAGTTCAGGAGCCACACTCAAGTGCTCTTTTAGTGACAAGTTAGCTCTGTGATCCAAGCTTCTCTCCTCATTCATATTTGCCACCTAAACTCTGCTGTCTTACGAAAGAATTCTGTATCATGAAGCCATGATTTTGCTGAGCAGCATTTTTGGATTGATTCCTTCTGAAAGCATGAAAATCCTTGTCCTCCTTAAGGTGCTGTCAGACAACTTCCGAATGGACTATTGCCGGCTCTGGCAGGCCCTGATCAAGGCTGATATGAAGCGGGTCCAAAAATACAGCCAGCGACTGGGAGCGGGGGACCTCTACCCACTCTTTGCCTGTATGCTCACTGCCAGGTCCTGGGAATCCGTCAACAGGGGCATTGATCGGGTGCCAGTCACAACAAAAGAGGTACATTTCTTGTTACAATTGTCTTGCAGCTTCACACGCATAATAATTAAGGATGCTGCTGTAAGAACACTGTGAGGAAGATCTGCTGATGCCTGAAGGAAAGAAGGCCTACTTGGCAACATAGGAAGTTGCAATATTTATTTATTTAGAAAATTTCTAGGTCGCCCCATTTGCCGAAGCCTCAGGGCGGCTTACAAATAAATAAATTAAAATACATAAATTAACAATATAGAACACATATAACAGTATAGAATAAGTTGCCCTGGCCAAAGAATAAAAATAAATACCATTAATATAGCACAATTAATATAGCAAATCCATCTAGCTGAAAATGGTTGACACAGAGTGGTAGCGATTTCGGGGCGGGGTCTTTTGAGCCTCAGCCTGGGGATGTCCGGGGATGAACCCGGGACTGCGGGCTGCTCTGTGAGCCTTACGAGAGGGTCCGTGGGTCTGACGAGAGAGGGAACATGCGCACCCCATGGCAGATCATTTTGTTGGACGCAGAAGGTTCCCAGTTTGGTTCTTGGCCTTTCTGCTTAAAGGGATTTAAGGGTGAGGGCAAGTACACAAGACTCCAGTGTGGTTCAGGGCCATAACACATTCTGACCTTAAACCCTCCCCCTTAGCATTTACTTCCCCAATTCCCCGGTGCATGGAGGCTAGAGAGAGAGAATAAAATCCTCTGTTGACAGCAATGGAGAGGGTTTTTTTCTTTTTCTTTCATTCCTTGGAATGAGGGGGTTTCAAGAAGAAAATTATTATTATTATTATTATTATTATTATTATTATTATTATTATTATAACATTTCTATGCCGCCCCTTGCCAAAATGTTGTGGGGGGGAAGTGTTTGTGCGCATGTATGAATTAAGGTTTAAGCCTCCACTCCAAGTCCACAGCAGTCCCAATCTGAATTAGGTTTGAAATACTGTATTGTATATGCATATGTCTCAATTACAATTTATGCAGTTATACATTTTATGCAATTCATGTAACGTGAAGTTTGGCCCTTAGCTGGCAGGTGTGGGAAAGATGCCGGAAGCTGAGGTCTAACACATCTGGAGGACACCTGGGGAAAGCTGCCCTAGATTATCACTTCCAGATGTAGTCAGAACCAGCTGCTGCTTCCAGTGCAAACCTCTCTCTTCCCTGCTTTCCATGTATCTCCAATCTGACTGTGCCAGAATGTGGAAATCCGGACCAACGCTGCCACTTACCTGCCTCAAATCACCAAGCTTCTCAACAACGTTCCTCGTCAGATGCTGCTGCTCCTGAAGACCAACGATTTGCTGAGGGGAGTGGAGTCCACTCTGCAGACGCGGGCCAGTGCCAGCTCCTTCCTCAGCATGTCTCGCTGCTGCATACGAGCTGTTGCCACGTGAGTTCGCCTGCCTGGAAGGCCAGATCCAGGGTCGCTGTTTGGCTAAGCGATCCACAAGGGCTGAAGCAGGGGAGCCACGCTTCTTTCAGCCCAAAGGGCAAGCTCAGTCACATGTATGTTCTGTTCCAGAAGTGGGCACAGACAAGAGGGAAAAAGGGCCAGACAGAACACCCCAAATACCAGCATGCTGGAGCTTAAAGCTTCTCCTGCTGGTAAGTAAACTCTAGGGAGAGACATGTCAACCTTTTAGAATGGGAAAACTGCACAAACCAGGAGACCACCAAAGAGCTGACAGATGAGGGAAAGAGGGTAGAGCCCTCTGGGGAATCCCAGCAGGCCAGATTACCTCTCTGCAGAGTTTACAGCAAAGTAAAAAAAATAACTACAGTAGAGCGAAACATCAACAAGAATAAAAATTAAATTAAAATAGCATAAAACATTAAAAAAGAATAAAAAGACCCAGCCAAGAATAAAAGAAAGGCACCTGGACAATCGTGTCAGCCCCTGAATGACCAGGATGGTCTTTAAAGGCATCCACAAATAAAGCTGTCTTGATCTGGTGCCAAAAAAATGGCAAATTTTGTGCCAGGCAAGCCACAGTGGGAAGGTTGTTCTAAAGAAAAGACCCATCACATAAAAGGCCCACCCCTAGTTGCCAGCCTCCAAGCCTTCTGAGAGGCTGGCACTCGGAGGAAGGCCCAAGAGATTAAGCATAAAAGGTAAAGGTTTCCCCTTGACGTGAAGTCCAGTCATGCCTGACTCTAGGGGGCGGTGCTCATCTCTGTTTCCTAGCTTCCAGCGTTTGTCCGCAGACAGTCTCCGTGGTCATGTGGCTGGCATGACTAAACACCGAAGTGCACAGAACGCTGTTACCTTCTACAAAGTGGTACCTTTTTATCTACTTGCATTTGGATACTTTCGAACTGCAAGGTTGGCAGGAGCTGGGACGGAGCAACGGGAACTCACACCACTGTGCAGTTTCGAACCGGCGACCTTTTGATCAACCAGCCCAGCAGCACAGCAGTTTAAACCACTGCGCCACCTGCATCATAGTGTCCTATAAAATATAAAGTATATTAATTCTTTCCTGCAGCAGGCCAGAAGTAGCTTCTTGAAATATTTAGTGTCCTGTGATGTCTCCAGTGAGGTTTAAGCTATCTCATTAAGATGGGGCAAAAGAGTTGAGGGAAGGCCTTTCTCTGTATATTCCTACTAGATCACTAAGATCTTTGTTGGAGGTCCTTCTGCATGAGCCATCTCCATTAGGAAAATGGCCAGGAGAAGGACCTTCTTGGTGCCCATTATAAGGCTTATCCTGTGGCAGTGAAGATAGCAAAGAGATGCTTCTTTGCCACCAGCATTGCATCCACACAGTGTTGTCCAGCAGAGCTTTTCCATGTGGTTCAGGGCCTTTTACATTCTGGCCCTAAAAGAGATTCTGTCAAACTCTTGGTAACCTACTGTGATGACTTTCTTGACACTTTGAGGGTGACATTGCTTGGATTCGTTGTGAGTCAGACACCAAAGTTAGAAAAATAGAAAAATAGCGAGTCAGAAGGGGTCTCCTGAGCCATCTAGTCTGACCCTCAGCTCCAGCTGGCTCTGCTCCTGCAATACCCAACATGCGGTTGTCCAGTCTTTCCTTGAACACCCTCACTGATGGGGTCCCACCACCTCCCGTGGAAGCCCATTCCATATCCTAGGGGTCCTAACCGTCAGGAAGCACTTCCTGATATCCAGCCTGAAACCCCATTCCTTGAGCTCTGCCCCATTGCACCACACTCTTTACTTCACCACTGGAAAGAACAGGGCATGACTCTCTACTGTGTAACAGCCCTTCACATACCAATATATTACTATAAGATCCCGTCTGAGTATTCTCTTCTCCAGGCTGAAGAGTCTCAGCTCCCTCAGTCTCATCTCTGTGCCATCCCCCTCAACCCAGCTACCCTCCTTGTGACCCTGAGCTGAACTGATCCTAACCTAACAGAATCCCTTTGGCACAGACATCCAGTGCACGGTCTGGTCCAATTTTGTTGGGTGAGTTTCTGCTGTTGTGGCCTGAGAAGGTGCACAAGGTGTTTTGTCAAGTCCAACTTACGACCTGTTTGCTTGACCCTTGCCCTTCTTGGGTGAGTGAGTGATCCAAGGAAGGGATTCATACCTGGATCCAGGAGGTGGAATGGAAACTGCCTTGGTCACCCTATGGGATGACCTTTGCCAGGAGAAAAACTGTTGAGTGAGATCATCCAGAGGTTTTATTGGTTTATTGCTTTTAGCATTGTTTGTTTATGCACCCAGAGAGCCCTTTGGGCTATGGGGGGGGGGGCGGGCATACATACATATGTACATACATACAAAATAAATTCCACTTGGAATGTTAGGAGGCGCCATGTAAAGCAGGAGGCACTGCTGTCCTATACTGTACATAGTCCAAATTCTGGAACTGGTCCATGCAGCGTGTTCTGTGGGCCTCACGTTGCTAGGTACACCCCTTTAGGATGGGGATGTTGAACCCTTTCAGCCTGAGAGCTGAATTCCATTCCAGACCAGCTCTCAGGGGCTACATTCCAGTAGTGGGAGAGAGTAAAAGGCCAATGGGGTGGGGCCAGTGTGCCATCATATGTAAGCTTAAAGTTCTCTCTGCTATAGCTAAGCCTTACAGAAGGCATTTAAACCTTTTAGAATGGAGAAAATTACACAAAAGCTGGGAAACCGATGAACATGGGTGTTTGGGAAAAAGGGAAGGAATGGTGCAGCGGAAGGCAAGGCCACTTGGTAACCCCTGAGGGACAGTTTTAACCCCTTGGCTGTAGTTTCTGCCCACCTGCTGTAAGATTTAGGACACTTCTTTTTGTGTTTTACCCAGGTATCAGAGGAACAAGAGTCACTCCCTGTACCGGAAGGCCCAGATAACCCTCTCCGAGGCCCTGAGCTTGTGGCAAATCAACTTGTATGAACTCTTCCTCCGGCTGAAGGGGTCCCTGCTGGGGAACTGGGTTATTGCTTTCCTGAGTTGGATGCACCATTCTTCCTAGCAATAGCAACTGGTGGGGCGAGCGAGCCAAGCACAATTACCTCCTTGTCTTTCCTGACTGTAGCATTCTGTTCCTGTTTCTACTGCTGGGCCTCTTTTACATAACTCATGGTGTTGTCCTCGTTGCCTTTTGCAGCCAGCCCTTCTCTCTAGCATATAGGAGGGAAAGGAGCAAAGCCCCAGGGAGCCAGAAGTCCCCTGTTTTTAGGCATGGCTCAGGGAAGCGGCAGCTTGGATAGAACTCTGCAAGTCTCTCAGTTCTCAGGTCTTTGGAGGGCCTCCAGGTGAAGTCCTGAAGGGCCACATAAAAGGTGGTAAGTATTTTTCAGGTCCAATTAACCACAATTAAGAAAAATTAAATCCAACCCCCCTCCCCCAATATATACTGTAACTTAAAATTCTGCAAAGTAATACGAGCCTCTAATAACAACATGCAGAAGTCTTCCTCAATCTGGTACTCTCCAGATATTTCAGACAACAACTCCCACCAGTCCTAGCCAGCAGGGTCAAAGGTCAGGGCTGGTGGCAGCAGTATCCTAAAGCATTTGCAGGGCACCCAGGTTGGAAGAGGCTGTTATATATATTTCTTGAACATCTTCTACAGAAGAGTTGAGCCAGTCCCTGGTCATACTAAAATATTCCAAAGCAAAACAGGCACCAAGTGGGCAAAGGGCTGGAAGCCTGAATGGCAAAATTATATTCCTAGTTCTGAGAGGCTTTGAAAGGAATGGCTACAGTTGTGGATCTCTTGAGTTCTGTACTCACGTCTGTCACTGAGTGGCTGCGGTTTAGGGTATTTTTGGATGTTTACTTTGCCTAGATTGCCAGATGTGTAAAATGGAGGCAGGTGTGTTGAACTGCCTTTGAAGTGTACTGTGCTATTATCTCAGCATTCATTCAAAGCTCAAGTGCTGGTCATGTATGTGTATTTGCATGGGGAAATAAACTGGGTTTTCCTCTGTTGGGAGGAAAAGGTAGCATGTGTTTGTGTGTGCATTTGTTTACGTTATTACTGCTGTTAATAAACTGATGATCATTTCTATAACATTATCCTCAGCCAACATATGTAAATGGTTCAGAAGCACATAGAGAAGTTCTGTGGGAATTCTGTAATCAGTTATTTTGCTTTGTATATGACAAGGCTGTACCCCCTTTGACTCTTGAAAAATACATAATTAAAATTACACATAAAATCTTTTCCACAATACCAGCAGATAGAGCACTGTCAATTTTATTTTCCCAGTATTTTAATAATTAACTGGTTTTATTCTTGTTTTTATTACTATTTTAGATGCAATGTACAGTACTTTTTTTAAAAAGATGTATGTTGTTGTTATGGGTTCTGTTTTTTAGTTTGCTCTCTGTAAGCCGCCTAGAGACTTTTTTTAGTAATGGGACGGCATACAATGACCTTAAATAAATAAATAGGTCCAGATTGTTTTTGGGATTAGGTACCATCAACAGTAGATTTTTTTCAGGCACATTGATGCAAAACATTTAGTGTTATACTGCAGGCATTGCCAGATTAATATTACTATTGTTCTTGTTATGTACTGTCAAGCCATCTCCAACTTATGGCAATCCTATGAATGAAAGTCCTCCAGAAAGACTTATCCATGACATTCCTGCTTCACTGTCCTAAATTCAAGGCTGTGGCTGAGAGCCGGTGTGGAATAGTGGTTAAGAGTGCAGGACTGTGTCTCGGGTGATCCGGGTTCTAGTCCCCACTCAGTCATGCTGGGTAACTTTTGGCTCTCAGCCCAACCTACCTCACAGGGTTGTGGGGATAAGATTGAGAGCAGAAGGAGAAAAATGATGCAAGCTGCTTTTTCTTTAAGAGAAGTAAGGCAGGATAGGAGTCTAATACATACATACATACATACATACATACATACATAGTTGTTATTTCCTTTATGGAATCAATCCATCTCTTATTTGGCATTCCTTTTCTTCTTCCTTCAACTTTCCCTTGCACGATTATCTTCTCCAGTGAGTCTTATCATGATATGACCAAAGTATGACAGCCTCAGTTTTGTCAGTTTTGCTTCTAGCAAAAGGGTTGATTGGACTGTTTAAGGTTTCAAGGTAAGAAGATGCAGAAGTGGCTTGCCACTGCCTTCTTTTATGCACCACTACCTGGAATTTGTTTGGATGTCACTGCCATTATCTGTGAAAGATCCTGCACCAGTGTCACCTGCAGCAACTCCTGCTGCCCGGTAGCTTCCCTTCAGAAGTTTCTTTGTCCCCGTCACCATTATAGAGATCCATTCTCTTCTGCTGATGTGACCGTTACTCCTGAAGAGAGTGGATGAATCTTAATTTGGGGCTTAGATTTGCCCATCCTGCCTAGGGTGACCCTACTAAGAGACCAGTCTGGTGAAAGAGTCTGGCCTCCTGGTGGCATTGCTCTCACTCTTAACACCCCTCAGCAGTTTAAACTGTGCATCCAAGAGGGCAAATATTGCTATAACTGACCCTAAATCTTTCTACCATATTATTGAGCAAGCCAGTAAACTGAAGTCAGGGTAGAATGGTACAGTGGATAAATCTTACTAGTTAGGGTGCAATCTTATATGTATTAGACAGAAAAAAGTCCATGTCTGGCTAGGGAATACTGTAAATTGTATGACTTTTCCCTGTCTAAACAGGCATGGGATCGCCCCTTTAGTCTTTTGCCCTGCCAGATGTATGAAAAAGAGGGGCATCAGATTTGGATCTCTCAGCGGACTATACTTCACTCAGTGCCAAAACAGAATGTTTGATTTGAAAGTATTGGAGCAACTATAGGATTCTTCCTGTCTGTTACTTGCACAGTAATGCCATTCCCTATCAAGTTCTTCCAGGACATGAAGGATTCTGTCTACAATATCCTGGAATATCTATTTCTTGATTGCATGTTACATTAATGCAGATAAACAGGGAAAGGCTCAGGCTCAACTTGATCTCATAGTATTGCTAAATGTAAAAGACTGTGCTTGCACAAGCGTTGCTATTTTACTCATGTCTTCGGGTGTGTTGTGTTATAGTGTATTGTTTCTACAGTAAAAGATCAAAGAACCTGTCTTATTAGACTATTTGTCTGTGGAGCCCAGTACTCTTATTGCCTGTGGCTCTCAAAGGCCTTTCCCATCACCAGCCACTCTTTCCCTCTAACTGGATATCTAGGAGATTCAACCAGGGCTTTTCTACATCGAATGCATGTGCTCAGTCCTTCAGCTGTCATCCCATTGCTCCAAATATGCCACATTTGTAAGGCTTATTCGTTCATTAGTACAGGGAGACAGACCTTCAGGCCAAGGGCCAAGTTCCATTTCAGAGAAACTCTCAAGGCCACAGGCAAAAGCCAGCAGGGTGAAAAAACCTGAACCTCCTTCCCAGGAAGGCTGTGTCTTTTCATAACAAGTCTCTGCATCTTTGCTGAGAAGGAGGCAAGACTAGATCACTCAGTTAGTGTTATATGGAAGATCAAGCCTAAGCAGAAGCAGGCATGCACAACCTTTTGTGCAAAAGCACTGGGAATATTGCGTGCAGCTCTGGATAGATTCACAAGGGAGGAGGCTTTCGGTGGCTCCTAGCCTTGCTGGCTGTGAGCCACCTCCTTCAGCAGAGGTGGCCTGCCTGCATACACCAGTTGCTGAGGAACTTGGGCAGAAAGAGGTCTTGCAGCTATTGGGTGGACTATATAGGTCTTTGCTCCAGCAAGGCTTTTCTTATGTTATTTTCATGTGTACTCACAAGGAAGCAGAAATGAATTGTTCAGCAGCTTCTGTCTCTGGCTGTAGATCCAGTGTACTCGATGGGAACAGAAACACAGAAACAGAGTGAGTCAGAAGGCTCCTCTTGGGCCATCTAGTCTGACCCCCAGCTTCAGCCAGCTCCGCTCATGACATGCCTACTATGTGCATGTCCAGCCTATCCTTAAACACCTTCAACCACCTCCCATGGAAGCCCATTCCATACCCTAGTGGCCCTAACTGTCAGAAAGTCCTTCTTGGCATCCTCCTTCAATCTTGGTTCCCTGAGCTTTGCTCCATTGGAATGCATCCTGCCCTCCTCCTCAGGGGAAAAAAAGGTCACGACCCACCTCTGCATGACACCCCTCACATACCTATAGGTTGCTAACAGGTCCCCTCTGAGTCTCCTCAAGGCTGAAAGGACCCAGTTCCCCCAGTCTCTCCTAATATGGCTTACCCTGCAAACCAGCCACCACCTTAGTGGCCCTTTGCTGATTCCAACCTTGCTATATCCCTCTTGTAATGAGGGGTCCAGAATTGAACACAATACTCCAGCTGTGGTTGCACCAGAGTTGTATAGAGTGGCAGTAATACCTCTCTCGATCTAGAAGCTACGTGTCTGGCTATGCATCCTAGGGTGGCATAGCTAGAAGCATGGAGTTACTGCTGAATAGAAATGCATGAAGATTGCACTGTAAATAACCATAATTTGCTTGGTAAGCCAATGCCGTGAATTGGAATAATGTTAAGGAAACAGCTGCTTCCCATATGAAGACTAAACACTTTTGTTTTGACTGTATTCTTAAAAGAGGTCTATCCACTCACATCAATCACTATAGTTATCAAGAATCTCTCATTTCTCCATTTTCTAAACAGTTTTTTTCCTCCAGGAATGTGGTGTTTTGAACTAGAACTCCTTTAATAATTGCTTTATAGGCATCCCAAATTACCAACCATGGTTGGCCAGCTGTATTCAGCTGAAAGTGTTCTTTTGTACTTGGTTTCACCTCTCATATTAATGACTCATCTCATGAAAACAAATTGTTCTAACTTCAGTATTGTGATTTATCTTGTGGTGATCTATCACACCAAAATTAGAGCATGATCAGCAGATAAAAAAGGCAGGTTGACTTCTAATACTGGTTTCTTTTTATTTAATTGATAGTTTGATTTCTATACTTCCCAATAGCCAAAGCTTTCTGGGTTTATAACAAAGGGGCTCAACACCCCCAACCTCTAATCTATCCAAGAGTAAACTTAATGTGGAGCAGAATACAAAGTGTAGTATTTAGCCACTGTATAATTTCAGACAACAGGCATCTAGTGTCTAGCTCAATCATTTAATAATGTGGTCTGAAGAAAGCCACACTTGTCTCTTTTTTTCTCTGCATGATTATTTTAAAAATATTTTTATTATTTTTTCAGTCTATTTGATTATTTTTTCAACCCCCAAAAAACTAACATCTACAATAAAAATTTAAACATGCAATTAAAATAATTATTGCAGTGCTCCCCGCCACCAGGACCAACGATGCATGTTATAATCAGGAAAACCTCATTCAAACTTTCCGCAACATCCTCTCCTTCCAAAGCTGTAATGATTCAGAAAACCACAGTTTTTATTTAGTTTATATTCCACCTTTCCCCTGTGGCAAGGAACTCAAGGTGGCTTACATGATGGCAATCCTGCTCTCTGTTTTATCCTCACATCAACCCTGAAAGGAAGGTTGGGTGGAGAATCAGTGAGAAGCCCAAAGTCCGGGAAGGAGCTACATGGCCGAGTGAGGACCAAGGCCTAGCTCTCCTAATCCCACCCAACACTGCCACACAACGGCAGCTTTCTGAACTGCAGCCTTCAACCTGCAACCAGCAGTGTGAGGATATTATACTGATTTAGAGTAAACCATAGATTATGCTAAATGTGTCTTGTGCCACTATATAGTTGTTTTTTCTTTAATTAGTTTAATTATGGAGTAGCAGTTATTGGAGAGAGAGTTTATTATCCCTTCCCCTTCCAGCTACAGTAAGAATAAAAATCCCCACGCAAAGCATGGCTGCAAAGTTTAGAAAACGTTCTGTTTAGTACCGGTAGGAAGATTTTTTACTAAAGCCTCGTGGCTGTGTGGTGGTATGTAGTAATTTTTGTCTTTCTGTCTCCCTTGCCTCCCTCTGCTGGCCCAAAAGCATAATACTGGCAGAAGACAGGCATGTAAACATGCTGCTAAGGCTTGCTGAAGCATAGC